CTCTAGCCATCACCCGCGACCTGTTGGCGGTAAATGGAGGGAGACTGGACGTAAGACACGCTGTGGAAAAGAGCCGGTGTTTTAAATATAAATCTGGTTTAAAATTGGTCAGCCAACCCACAAACAAAAGTTCATGATGACCTTCCTTTAGCAGCCTGTCAACATAGTCCTGTACCGTGGGAACCCTGAACATAAGTGCTCAGGAGATGTGACTAAATAACATCCAGTAATAAAAAATAGTGGGTATTTATTTTCAATCTACTTCAAGAAAGGACAGAAAAACACTTTATTAACAGAGTCGTGGACTATTACACCTGAGGAAGATAAAGTTTTGGGCTGACAAATAACTGAAACTTCCATGAGTGATGCTATCACTCTGTGGAATAGGCAGAGGCAGACAGGCAGTGTTGGAGGCTCCCACTAATTTGATCTGGTGACATTTTCTTCTCCAGCTCCTCAGGGGGAAAAGAGCAGCAGAGACAGAGCGAGGGAGTTAGAAATGGAGGTGCTTGGAGAGAGAGTAAGAGAGCGATAAAGAGGGAGAGAGGGAGCGAGAGAGTGATGGCGAAGGAGACACTAATGAACACAGACAACAAAGACCCTAACCTGAGCTCCAAGCCCCTGGAGACACAGAGAGGTTTTTCATTGGGTCAATAAAAGCACTGGACCGTGTCTGCGTTGGCTTGCCCTTCAAGCACCCGCTTAACTACTGAGGGAGACTTTTGTTCAAGGTTGCAGGAGTTAAAGGGAGTATCACTGAATTTCATATCTGAAAATTGCAGAGAGTGTTGATCATAGTCTGTTGTGTGCAGAAAGATCTGCGACATCTTGTTTGAGTGAAACCAAAGCGCACAGGGGGTGTGTTACAGTCACTATGTCACTAGATTTTAATTCAAAGCTATGGTTCTGCTGTAATAAAGTTTAGTTAGATGCAAAATCTCAATCAAACAAGGCAATCATATACTGATAAATATAGAACCTCTGTTTGTTTTTTTTTATTTAGACTCACTCAAAGGGGGCTTTTAATTGCATCGGAGAATAAATCAATTCTTAATTTAAGGACTATCTGAAAGTTAAACAATAAATAACTGACACCAAGGTATATGGAGAAAGGATGACTATATTTCCCACTGGATATTTCAGAGTTAATTTCTGCAAGAGAGCAGCGCGGTGTCCCTTTGCCAAATCGGAGGAACGTGGCAGCTAGAGGAAGGAGAGAGAGGTTAGCCAAAATCAGCATGATGAGTTATTGACTCTTGGCTTGTAATTTCATTTTATGCACCAAGTGGCATACAAGATATCACACTGTTCATAATCCTCAGCGTCCCTGAACACACACGCGTGCCTCCCACTGACTCCTTCTTGTTATTAAAGGGGAATCTAAAGCCGTATGTCTTCCTCCAGTGTTGGAGGAGAGCCTCGAGTCTGGTGTCTTCACACCAGGACTCACACCTGAAGGGAAAGCGCGAACATGCACACGCACATGCACAAAAACACTGGGGGATATATACTTAGTTGCCCTACGAAGTCCCCCCACGTCTGACATATGTCACTCCCAATCTGTTCAGCAGGCCACACATATCTCTAGTGGGGTACTGGCACAGCGGCACAGAGGGCTGCAGAGGGAAAAGGCTGGGCAGAGGGAAAAACAGAAAGAGCTGAAGACTGAACAAGAGGGCACAGGGGGACGGAGACAGCAAGAGAGTGAGAAGAGAGCATGAAAGAGGCAGAGAGAGCTGCTGCTAGTGGTTGCCACCCTTTCCGTGCTAATTGGTAGTCTGGAAACAACACCATCTGTTCTTTAAGAAAGTCAGATGCACAATATAAAAATATGCCACCACTCCTGAATACATTTACAAGCAGCCAAGGCAAATAACTCAACAGCCCCGGGCTTCTTTCAACACAAGGATCCTGTAGGACACAAGCTAGACAGGCATCTGTTATACTTGTTATAATGTTTAGGGATGTTAAATCTAGTCCTGGGTTCCTGCCAGGGAGTGCTGAATAATGTAAATATATGATGGTGGAGATAGATTGAGAAGAGGTCGGCAGAATATTTTTTATGTATGAAGTAGGAAAGGAGAAGGAATAATTCAGAGTCCACCTGTAACCATGCAGATTGCCATTTACATCCTAGGAAAAGGCACAAATGGAAGTGGGGTGCCATCATGTGGATGAGTAATGCAGTTACACTTAAAAGAAGGAGAAGAAATGCTGCTTTATGTG